TCAAGGCCTAAAAAAGCTTAGTCATGTTTCAAAGTACTTCATCTAGTTTGTATCCTGTAAATTTAATTGCAAACGAATTTAGAAAACTAATTTTCTAAAAATTTAGTCTATTCCTAGTTCATTATCTCTTCTTAAGACTAGTCTGGAACATTGTATGTTAAAACCACACTGAACCAACAAAAGTCTTGACAACCAGACTAAGTTATTGAAGAACTAGTTCTTACACAGAGTTAACTGCAGGGCATACACATAAGCAATTCACAAGCTAAGTACTGAAGCTTGAAAATCAGATCACTACAGGTATATAAGGCAAGTATTAATATTTGTCTCTGACTACCTCTGTTACCAGGTGTCTCTGCAGGCACTTCCCAGTGAAGGAAGGAAAACCAGCTGCTGTTCCTCTCCCCACTTTGCTCCCATATATACCATATCATGTGACTACTGACAGGTGACTTGTTTTTTTCTGGTTGCCAGTTTTCACAATTAAATATCAACTTTTAGGAAACTGTAAGACAACCAACTATTCTCTTCCAAAGTACACATTAAATGTGACTTTCTTACAATTTTTAGATGAGCTTCATTAAGTTGTGTTCCGAGAGGTCTGAAACATAGACTCATGCACAGTGGCAGATTTTAGTACAGCCACCTGTATAAGAGCACATTATTTGCATGCCTCTAATTTATGTAAGACAAATAAGATTTGAGGGCTATAGAGAAAGCACTGTACTTATACAAAGTGTCTTTATAATGCATACATTTTAATTATGCTATTTGACAAAAAAAAAAATCAAACTAAACTTTATCATGAAGTGTGACACTGGAATCATGTTTCTCATATGTACACATTTCTGTCAATTCCGGATAAACATTTTCTCATTCACTTGTTGAAAAACAATCAGATGCTAACATATTATATATCACTTTGTAAATAATACAGCAGGTCAAATAGACTTGGTGAGTGGGTAGAACCTTGAGAACATCAGTGTATCAGATTTATATCTGAATCTGTTTCTCCAGATTTATACTTGCATCTCATGCACCTTTGTCCCTCTACTCCCCAATGTCTCTCCCAATCCAAATGATATAGAAGGGGGGGGAAATATTGAAAAGCAGTAAGAACGATCAAACAATCTCCACCCTAGGAGCAACTGAGCAGGCTGACTCTTCAGCCTAGAAAAAGATAAAGGCCTACAGAAAGAGTGGTATGGAAAAGGTGAATAGAGATCACATGGCTATTGCATCTTTCAGTGCAAGATGGGAAAATCAAAAAATGAAACTCATTTTCATAACACTGGGCTTCATGTGGCATTGTTAAGTTGTGGAACTCAGCCAGAGCAGGTTGTGAATACTAGAAGCTTATAGGCATTTAAGAGAAGACAAGAGATGCTCAGAGAAGAGCCTATAACCTTTAAATCAAGAAGTCTTCAGGGATAAACTACTACATACACCCTGATTATTACACTTTTCCATAAGCATGTGCTTTTGGCCATAGAGTTTTGAGATGTTCCTTTGAAATGACAAAGTAAACCCTTCTACTCCAACAGTGACTAAAGAAACCAGTGTGATAGAAAGGGAAAGATCTTGGGGTTTGTCTATTAATAGTGCACAACAGATCTTCCTCAGCCAGGTCCTAGCCCTTCACACCTATTTTAATCCAAAACTTCACTGATCATCCTTCTCCACAGGCTCTGGTTCCAAAACCTGGCCAAAATAAGGTTATCTCAATGTGATCCTATGCTCATCTCCCTGTCTCTGCCCCCTTGAACTTGCCCTTCCTACTTCTTCCTTGTACTAGCACTCACCTGATCATGTTGAGCTGGTTCAGGGAACAACACTGAAAAACTCTGCAATCTGGTTTTGGCCAGTCTGAGCTTGTTTAAAGCACAAGGAATCCACCAAGCACTGGTGCTAGTACAACTAAGGGAGTGAAGACAGCTATAGATAGGCTACTGTCATGGCAGGGCCAACTGATGTAGTTCCACTGTTAAGCTAATCTATTGCTTTGACATATTTGAGAAGCCAGATTCCAACCTACCTTATCAGGTAGTCTAACAGGCTGATTTGCTGAGTCAGACAGGTACAGCAACCTACTTGTCACCAGAACATGATCCTGAGTTGCAGCAAAGCTTCACTATATGTTACGCTTCCTAGGCTGAGAGTGTAAGCCTGCAGCAGTTGTAGGTTTAAGGATGAGAGGCCTTCAACAAAGATAGATGATTTCCTCAATCCCAAGATTGTCATCATCCTTCCTCCAAATCTCAACTTTCCCTACAACTGTTGATCAGTGAGATCAATATCTTGGCCAAGTTTGCATAAGTAACTCTTGCTGGTTTGATCCACTGTACGTATAGAAATTGCATTAATTTACTCTAACGAGTAACTACCTCAATTCCTCCGGAGGGTTTTTTTACTGAACATAGTTACAAACTTTCCATAGACTTTGATCACAAAGGATGGACCAACAGACAAAATTCTCATCTCTATAAAGTCTAATGATACCTCTGAAGTGAATTATTTCTGAAAGATTGAAATCCCAGGGGTCAGATCCTATCACTAGAAAATCCACTGCAGAATATCATTAGACTGAAACACAGCCTTACAGCAAGTTACGGATAATAAATTAAATATAATTTGAAGTTATTTGGGACCATCTTCTCAAAAAGTTGACTCCTAAAATTGCATAAAGGAGAAACTTTACCAAAAGCTTTAGCGTCTACTAAAACATTACAAATGTACTTAATTAATGAAAGGCATGTAACTAATGACAGCAGCTCATACAGATAAGACTGAAGAAGCCTTAAACCAATGTGGACACACTGCTAGCACAGTAATTATAACATGGTAACTATGGTCTGCATTAGCTCCAGTTCTTGGACCGTTTTGCCAAGTTGTACTGAACTCTACCGCTATAACCATCAACTGGCAATTCTTAAGAAAAGCAGCATCTTGCATGCATTAAACTATCTTTTGTTTTCAGATACAAGATTGCATTATACATGCATCAGAATAATAAATTTATGCTGCAATAAAAAACATCAGCCATTTAAATCCTTGATGCCTACAGTTAAATTTGTTTCCAGCAGTACTTATTCACTTGTTAGTAGTGACTCATCTTCCCAATATGTATGCTTCTGCACTCTGAGAAAAGCCATTTGGTTCCCAAACAATCCTACTCTACCCCCCCTGCCCCCCCCCCCAGCAACTTGCTTACACTTCTAAAACAATTCAAGATCTTTTTATGCAAGTTTTGGCCACCTGAAAAATATTCTGGTGATCCCCCCTCCCCTACTCCACATGCAAGAAAACCTGTGTAGAATGCAAGATTCAGGATGGAATGCAAGCCAAATGTTCTCACAGGGGTTTGGGGGAGGGGGAGAATATGTTTTGGTTTTCATTTGTTTGTTGGGTTTTTAAGTGAAAATTTGCAGATTGCTGAGATCTGAATAGGTATAGTCACTCATGGCAAAAAGACACTCAATTATTCCCGATTTCCTACACATTTGAAGTATGCTTTCCAAAACTAGCAATGCATGAAAAATCCAGAGGCAGAACAGGAATATTCAAATTATCTAAAATAACTGCACAATCTGGTGAACAGTTACGTTCATATAAAAAACTTCATTCACTAAGTACAATTATACTAGTACCAGACAAATACTTTGCTTGGCAGCATCTGGAGATAACAGCCAACTTAGAACATTATGTTATTCCTTGTGGTCAGTTGCTGTTAGAAGTCAAATTTTTTGCACAATTCTTCTGCCCAACACTTCATTATTCTTTTATTAATAGATGTTTATGCACGTGACATTTGCTTTTAAGACTGAAGTGATATCAAAACCAGTGTTTCCTACTATTGGAAGCTGTATGATTTTTCTTGTTTCAGTCTGATCAACACATTTGCTCTAAAAGTTTTCTTCCACATAAGCCATGCTGGGGAATGACATCTGAGATTGTCTCTAAGGTTCACAATATCAGAGACCACACTACTGCATAAACTCCTTAATAAATGTTAGATATAGGATACAAGAGTTCTTCAGCTACAGCCAGAAGCTATCCATCTTCATATTGCAATCTTAAGATACTACAATTATACAGTTAGAGTAAACATTTTTACAAATGTCATAATATTAGTAAATATTCGTTTGGGAGTACATTATTAATCAACAGAAAAGATGAAACATTATGTGGACATCCACGAACATTATCTAGGAAAGATAAGAGAATAAGCTGAGTTGTAACTACTAACTAACCATCATGGTCTGGATACAATTCTCATCCTAGAAGGCCTTTAAAATAAATCATAAAGAACATATACTAAAGAGAAATCACATACACACTCTTTATTGTGTTAATCCCCACGGCATCTGCTACAACTGCACAAAGGCTAGGCTACAAGGTAGATGGACCTTAGTTATCACAAAAACGTTTTGTGTCTCCCAAACTTGTCTTCTACATACAGAGACTGCTGTCACATTGGTTTGGAAGATACAATCCAACAGGTTTTTTAGGAAGATGCTCTGAGATTTTAGCAGATGCATTTGAGAACTTGTTCTCAAAGCAGAAAGTCTGAGAAGAGACAAATGCATTTTGCATTTGCAAATGCATTTCAGGGAAAGAGGAAGAATAGCTATCAGTGCAACATTAGGAACTGATTTTCAAGTTATGAACACATCACTTCAATGTGAATATGCACTTGCAGCCTAGTTTCAAGAAATACTAAAGAGAAGATTAGATCATCCTTTCCAGCAACATTTAGTACACGTTACAATTTTAAAATACTATTGCCTTTCAGAAACACAAAAGTCATATCAACACCAAATCCACACTTGCTGCATAGGAAAACGGACTGTTTCTATTTTAAAGAATAGCTTGTAATAAATTCCACTTGCTATTAGCTTTCTAACCTAGAAACACAGAACCTAGTAAGTAGATTATTTAGTCACATTTGTATTAATCAATATTTGTATATCCCAGGATTTGTACTTGAACTATGAACTTACAAACGCTGAAGGCAGGAAAAGGACCCCCAGTTCATATGAACGGATCATCAGTTGGGTGCCATTTTTCTCCAGAGCTCCCCAAGCTGCTTTAGATAGATTGGCACTGCAAAAGAAACAAAGCATTTCAGTGAGCCATAATCCTTACAGCTGAAAATGCTTATGTACCACACCTGTTAACAATGCACTTCTAGCAGGAGAACTTCAGTCAGAACAGTCTTTTCATAAAAAGTGATTTGGGTGTTATTCCTTACTGCTATTTTTACAGCACAGTGGGAGAAACAGAGATAATATATAGAAGGGCATTCAATATAACACATGTAGATAATTATATAAGCCTACTCATGTCATACATATCTGTAAGACAAATTGAGCCTTTTGAATCTTCTCTGCCCATTTCAGAAAGAAACTTGGTAAAGAGCTTCAACTTGATGCTTAAGGAAATTAAAGGCTAGATCAATTATGGTAAGTTACAATATAATACGTTTAGTACTGAGCACTTTGCAAGTGTTAATATCTTTTGCTCCTGGCATTTTGTTCTTTGATATATTTATGAAAACAAGTATTTATCAAAGAGGTATTTTTGTTTTCACTTGCTATTCAGCACCATGTTGTAGTTAATTCTTCATTAGTATCTGCTATGAAGTAGATCAAGTCAGGAGTCAAAAAATAAATGCAATTCTGTTGTCAAAACAATACTAAGCAAAATACAAAGCTTAAACATTATGTTTTAACTGACAGACATACTGGATGCTTTTTGATAGTAGCAAAAGGTAGAATAGAAAAAACATGAGAAAAAATAAAATCAACAATAAATTTCTGTATTAGGTAGACTCAGCATCACATTTGAACAACTTGAATCCTTTAAAAATCACCTTAATCACTACTCATATTGAAGGCATCAGTACTCATAAATGAAGAAATTTGAAGAAACAGAATATAAAGAGGAAAAAAGATTAAAGATCATAATCTATAGTATATAGGGTTGCACAAAAATAATTTTTGGCAAAACAAACATATCTGGTTTCCATTCACAATAAGACATTCTGCTCTTACGTCAAGAAATTTCTTGCTCCCCCTTTTGGCTTCTTTAAACAAACAATAGAAATACAAAGCTAGACTTCAAGCTAGACTGCTGACAAAAGGTCAGATTCTAAATATTAGGTATCTTCATGCTTTATAATAAAGCAGCACAAGGATAAACTTCAGCTTAACCCATATCTATTTTGTACAAACTAACACATTAATGTACAGCATGTGTTAAAAAAATTAACCCAAGGTTTAAAAATACTTATCACTACAATTGATGCTGAACCCCAAAATTGGCAGTTAGAGCTCAGACAAGATTTTGGTGCAATTGCCAACAGTTCCTGACATAATAATTTCAATCTGCAGCCCCAAAAGGGGCAACACAATGAAGAAACATTAAATATGGACAAAAATTCCTATCAGTACTTATAACATTATGAGGATTATGGCATTAACTCAACTGGGCCTGCAACTGACAAGAACTTTATATATGACTAAGACATTGTATGGTTGCTTACCTTGTAACTAAGAACCATGCAATCTTCTGAAAGTCAGGAGAGGGTCTCATGTATGTCTTAATGTGAGGTATAGCATGACTTCGACCTGAGACTTCTGCTGACCATTTGCTAGAAAAAGAAATTATTTTCATGTACAGTTTTATTTTGAGGTCTAAAACATACCATACTGCAGTACCATGTTCTCAATAATACTACCCTATACTTGTCACATTTAATACTTGTTTCCCCTATAGAAAGGCTGAAAATACTTTAACTGATTTTTTTAATCCTGAAATCTAATCTTAGTAGTAGTTAGAAAGGCAGGATTTTTTCCTTTACAAACAAGATATTTTCCTCAATGTATGAGGGTCTTCTAACAAGTTTTTTCATTCCTCCACTCTAGCTAGCACTCAAGAAACTAAGTCCAAACTTCCAGCCAGCTATTTTTCTTTGAAGACTATCAATGGTTATGCCTTTAAGCAAAGGAGCTTGGCACCAAATTAAACCTTGCCAAATTCCCCAAGCTTATTACAATTCATTATGCATGAATTAGAGGCATGGAGCAACTGATTAATTGTTGACATTACTCTTCCTCTCCCCTTTTCTGTGCTCCTAAGCCACTAAGAAATTTGAAGGCTTAGAAGAGGGGTCATATCTACGGGTATCTAAAAAAATAGCATGAAAACAACAAGCTCTTGCTAAGGTAATTCAGCATCAATGTTACAGAACTAAACTGTAAGCAAGCAGCAAATATATGTACATAACTGAAGGTATGTAATCATGGTATTCAGAAGCACTTTCCATTCACAGCTGTTAGTCCTCAATCAAAATCAGGAAGAAGGCCTCCAAACACACCTTCTTCCACCTAGAGACTTTTCTTTCCTCAGTTTGGAATATAAAAGGCTGATTGTCACAGTCTTGTTTCCCTAATTTAGCATTCTCTCCTAAATGGCAAATCAAAGAGAATCAATCAGCTCTGAAAAACTTCTTAGGTGAACTGTGTTCATTTAAAAGCCTAAGAGGACTGAAGTGGAAGGGCTGGAATTAATTTACCTAAGCTGACTTTCACAACTAACTTTCACATGAGTTAAGAGGCTTTGCAGTTCAGACATCAAGACCTACTTGCTTTAACAACACTATCTTCCAGTGAAGAAAACTGTTTCTGAGAACAGTCCTTCATTCCTAAAGGGCAAGAGCTGAAACAGTATGCATGTTTAGAGCAAACTAGACCTCTTTATATTTTGATGCAAGTCACACTGAAGTCTGTTTCTGAAGAACAGACAAATACATATAATACAGAAACAGCTAAACTTGTGTTCCTTTATAGAACTCTACACTTCCCATACATAGTAATTTTAAGCCTATACTATAACTCAACAATTCTCGTTAATCACTAATCTCACTACTGACAGTTTACAGAATCCCAGAATCATCTAAGTTGGAAAGGACCTTGAAGATCATCCAGTCCAACCATTAATCTAACACTGACAGTTCCCAACTCCACCATATCCCTGACTGCTATGTCAACCCTACTGTTAAACACCTCCAGGGATGGGGACTCCACCACTGCCCTGGGCAGCCCCTTCCAACACCCAACAACCCATGCTGTAAAGAAATACTTTCTAATATTCAGTCTAAACCTTCCCTGGTGCAGCTTGAGGCCATTACCTCTTGCCCTATTACAAACCTTAGGCAAACATTACCTTTAAATCTAAGGCACAACAATAATTTGGTAACTTCAGAAACATTATAGAAAAGAAAACCAGGAAAAACAGCAGAATTGAGAATTGAACACAGATTTTCTTTAGATCTATCCTGCTGCCTCACGCAAGGACAAAAGTCTCCCCTCACTATTAACTGCAATAACTTTGAGATGCTACCTCAGTCTACTGCCTTTTTGCCTGCTTATCTTTGACAGATACAATTAAGTACCGTGTTTTAGCAAGAGTACTACCGCTTCTCTTTCATTCAGTAGCTACAATAATCTAATCACAGTTAGCTTCAATTACAAGTGATCAAAAACAGTATTCCAGAAAGTTACAGTCAGAAAGGGGAGCATACATTTTGGCCATATTTTCCTTACTAGGACAGCACAAACATGTAAGGACAACAAGAAGAAAGTGATTATGTTCTCCAGTCAGGTTTGGTTGTTTGTGGTTTGGTTTTGGGTTGGTGGGGTTTCTTTTGGGGGGCGTGTGTGTGTGTTTGGTTCACCATGGAACTTTCCCAGCATATTTCAGAAAAAAGCCAAAACATTACAAGAAGCCCAAAGTAAAATACAAGACCAGTTACTTTGCACAGTAAGGATGAGAGCATATGTCAATATAACAATTTCAGGCTACTTCTAGTCAAATTGGTTTAGCACATTTTAAGCTATAAACTTCTCACAGAATGCAGCTGGCAGAGTATGTACAGAGGACCGATCTCCATAAACTTCAGGCATATTCAATCTCAGAGATAAATATGGGAAGTTAAATGAAACTAGATTTGAAGAATTTCATGGAACAAAGCCAAAGCTTGAAGCAGGATTTTTTTTGACAGAGGTCATGGTACCATGTAAACTAATACCTTTACCTCACCCCACACCTGAGCTTTTAGTTTACAGTAGGTACTATCAGAATTTGAACAGTTAAACACTAAAGCCTTTTTGCTAGTTTTTTTTTAATTCTTTTACACTCCTACGACTAGAACTCCTTATCACTAATACAGCTTACCTCTGATTTAGACCACTAATCCTGACATTTTTACCAATAACTTGCTTCTACTTCTTCCCTCAGTCTTTTGTGGCATTTCAGTCAACAGCTTTTCTTTTTTCTTTTTAATTACACAGCCCCCAATGTCATGATTAGGTGCACTGAATTAAAGATGTAATCTGCTTTCCAACTCAAACTGCAACAGCTTTTGCCCATCCCATCCCTCTATTTCTCCAATAGCTATTTTAGAGTTTCACATAATTTGCTTTTTTGGGAAAGGAGGAGGGGAAAAACGTTCTGTACCATGAATAAGGTATCTTTCGCATTAAAAATACTTTGCAATGAAAATACTGTGCACTCACTTGCACTGCACTACAAAAGTGAATGCTTACAAGCTCTTGCTTTTATATGTCCTTATCCAGTTGCAAAACTTCAGAATTAAGTCTTTAAACATTTAATAAATATTTGCTTTACTCCACAATACATTTTTGAGTTTGAAAAGGAGACTACATAGCAACCGCAGTGCATTTAGCTGGAACACATACACCAAGTATCAATTGCCATCGATGTCTGATATTTCTGGCACAAATGAGGTAAAGGAGCAGACACAGGCCCCTTTACAAGTGGAGCTACTGAGACAGGGAAGCCAAATAATCCTAACATCCTGAAAATTAATCTGTGCAGACACACTCAACCCATAAACAGAGCCAGGAATAACTAATTTTCTACAATACCACCTCTTTCATCATTTAGTTCTTAGTTCAAATAGCTAACAGGCTTTCCATCTCAAGATACTGGCAATAAGGCCTGAGCATAGTTAAAACAACTCACACCATTAGTCTCAACCTTAAGAGAACAGTATGTCCTTTGTGTAAATGGTCTATAGCTCCCATCTTTTATGATGTTAGGGGAACACCACTGTAGTTCTTTGAACTGAAAAGAAAGATGATGTTCAAAATTCTACAGGCCTAAAGAACACAAAGTTCTACTACAGCTATGATTATCGACTTGTCAACAAGTAGTCAAACTCTGTCAAACCAACTTCTTCCATTCTTGGAAAATAAGAGTCTGACAAGATAACTGCAGAAACACAAGGCATGTGGTAATAAAAATCAATTAAAATTAGTATTAAAATACAATGGTTTATGTACTATTAAAACTAATCAACTGTTTCAAAAGTTGTAATTAACATAAATCATTAAGCATTGCGATTCTCTCCTTATCAATTAATCCTGAATACTGAAAATACGAGCAATCCTGCCAGACAGAAAACAGCAAATTGCACCATCTACACAGTAGCTAATCTAACAAAGCAGTCTAGTAATGATTCTCTAAGATCAAAAAAGTGAAATCAATAGTCACCTTCTTTTGAGAAAATTACTTTGAGAAATTAAAATTCAGAGCTGCATTATAGGTTAGATACACTCAAATGGCAGAATACATAGAAAAGCAGCCCACAGACATTATAAAAATTGTATGCCTGGGGCAGAAGTTTTATTTCTTTGGGTGAGACTATAGGACAGCATTTTCCAAACCCATTAATCTCTCCCTACCTGTAAAAAGGAGCTATTCCTTTTCTTTTACTCTAAGTATAGAAGTATTTATCTTCTTTCAACTCTGGTAGGATTCCTAGTTTCTTGCTGGTTCTGTATTATCTTCCAGTGAGGTAAAGACAAATTCCTCTAATCGCTCTACTGGCCAAAGATTTGCATTACAGCAAATCTTTAAAATAGCTCATCTTATATTTAATTCTATTGAAATAGGATGTAACATTTTCTGTGTCTCTCAGGTTACCACAGATAAGAAGCTGCTCTATGGTAACAGCTTCATGCAGGCTCTCTTCAAAGGCTAGTCTCTTGTATTACTGCAGGGTAAGAATCTGCATCTGGGTTGTCACTACAGAGCAGTCATGCAGGGCAACTCATGAACTGCAACCAATTCAACAGATGAATATAAAACAGCCCTTTTGTTGCCAGAGCAGGACCCTAGTATGCCCAACAAGACAGGTATGTGGGTGTTTTTCCATTGAACAGGAATAAAACAATGAATGATCTCATTATCAAGTAACATTCTGTGCACTAAAGAGACTAACCAAAAATAGGTTACATTTTTCTTCCAATAAGATTCTCATGAGGTATATGCTTATAGAAACTGAATTAAGGCTGCACAAACACCCCCAGTTCTATATCTCCTCACTTTTTGAATCATGATTGAACAATCTTTAAGTCTTGGAAGGTGTTTGAGCACATTCAGCAAAGGAAGAAGGCTACAGAGGGCACACTTCAAAGGCAGGAGAGACAAAGCCTCCTCACATGCTTTCTTTTCCAGTTCCATGCCTTGGACACTGACCAGCAAGGCTCACAGCAGCAATCATGTTCACTCCAAGACAGAGGATGCTCTCTGCAACTAGCAATTGTATTCTCAGCCCTCTGAATATATACATAACTTTACACATTCTTAGACATGGCTAAAGTACCTTACCAGAGCAACTTCCACCTGCAGGAGTTAAGTTTCTGATGACAGGAACAGGGTGCTGTGGTCTTGTAAGAGGTTATGAGATTTACTTTTTTTTTTATTTATCTGTGCAAAACAACTTTTCCCATTGTTCTCAAAACATGCTTAAGTTTCTAAAGATTCAGCCTGAGGGAGACATCTGGTATGGAATGTGTCAGACTGTTAGAATTTGACAAAATTAGTAGCACGTGAAAATAGAAGTTCTTAATGGAAAACATCAGGCACCTTTCACAGAAGATGTTATTACCATAAGGGACCAAGAATTTTTGCAAGACTGCTTCACCCAGAAAACAAAACCAGCCTTTTTAACACTGCTGTGGCTCAGCTGAAATCCTGTTAATACTGAGGCACAAGTAGGAAAGTGAAATACAACTGTAAATAAAAAAAATAAAGGGAAGAAAGAGTAACATTATTCCAGTTTAGAAAAGGAAAGCTTAAATAGAAGTTTACAAAATCCAAAATCTGGTCGTGTTCTCCATTAGCAACAGTATCCCATATCATCTTTACAGGTAAATAGCACATTTTGACTATGTTTTGTCAATAAGACCAGCAGATAAGGAACTAAAGGCTTTTAAGGAGTTTAAGACTATCATGCTTCTGACCACTTTGCCTTAATTTGGTTTTAACACTCAAACATTCACTGTAAGTTTAAACACACAGTCTAAGAAAAACCAACCGAGTTCTACTTACTGAAAATAGGAATGCAACCACAGCTGTTTCTGTGCTGTCTGTATACTGTACGGAAGTGAGCCACCAGCTTAAGGAAAAAATAGAACATGTATATTTGTTTTTTGAAAGACATTCTAAAAAGCAGCAAGCATCTTGGGGAATAAGCTATCTGTACTATCCTCATGACTTACTTTCAGAAAATGGTATATAGTGGGTTTTTTGGATTTTTTGTTTTGTTTTGATTCTTATAATTTAACAAATTCCTAAACACTATGTTGCAGATTTACACTAGGAAAAAGAGAAACAGTATACAGGCTATAGAATTAAGTCCTCTTAGAATATAAATGTTTATGGGTAATTTTTTGTTATGATACCACTTAATATTAACAGATTTAAATTATTGACCATACAACCTGGAGGGAATAAAACAAGCAACTTTCAGAAAAAAAGACAACCAAACAAAATTATTTTTAAAAGCAAGAACTTCTCTGATTAAATTGTATTTATATTGATTTGGTCTTTGGCTAATGCATGTTGTGATTTCCTGAAATGGATTTAACAAAGAAGAATCAGCATGAGTTATGTTAGTGTTGTGTATTGAAAACATGAAAAACCTACTGCATTGAACCTGTCCTAGAAGACACCATAAGGACCTGTTACAAAAGCTTTACTGCTCATGAATGCAGTAGCTGCAGGGGTCCACAGAGCTGGCCATTTGCACAAATACAAAATTATGTAATTCACCAAGTCATTTCACTATATGAGAAATGAGTGAGGAGTCATTGCACAGATTCCATCTCTGATTGTCAAGAGTATCAACCTTGCTGTAGACAACCAGATGTATTTTAAGAGACCCTAACTTACCTGTGAGTTATCAGATATATAGAAACTACAGCCAATGAGTTTATAGCTATGTCCAAACACTGCTCATTTCAGAGGAAAGACAGAGAGCTGATAGCATTCCTGCTAGCTCCATGTTCAAATTCCACCAAATGTTAGTTCAATAGCTGCTCTACTTCATACTACATAGGAGCACAGGTATCAAGCTTAAAACAGGAACACGTTTATGGATTCAGAAATGTCAAAGAATCACTGAATCAAAATTGGAAGAACCCTCTGGAGATCATCTAGAATAACTTCCTGCTCAAAGCAGAGTCAGAGCATGTTGCTCAGTACTGTCCTGTCAGGTTTCGAGTATCTCCCAGAATGGAGACTCTACAACCTCTCTGAGCAATCTGTTCCATTTAAACATCAGAAAATATTTTTGCTGTAATGGTACACTAGAATGTCCTGTATCTCAATTTATGTCCATACCCTCTTGTTCTTTCAATGGCAACCATGCAAAGAATCTGTCTTCACTTCACATCCTCCTATCAGGTACTTATATACACATTGATAACATCTCCCAGGAAAGTTCTTGTCCAGCTCTCACAGCCTCTCCTTGTATGACAGATGTTTCAATCCCTTATTCATTTTTGTGGCCTTTTGCTGGACTTGGTTCAGTATGTCCATGTCTGTCTTGCACTGAAAAGCCCACAACTGGACACAGCACTCCAGATGTGGTCTTGCCAGTGCTAAACAGAGGGGACTGATCACCTCCTGGCAACATGCTTCCTAATGCAGCCCAGGACGCTAGTAGCCTTCTTGCCACAAGCATGCATTGGTAGCTCATCTTCAGTTTAGTGACCATCAGCACTCACAGGCCTTTTTCTGCAAAACTTCTTTCCTGCAGTCAACCTCCAGGATGTACTGGTGCCTGAGATTATTCCTGCCCCAACACAGTACTTTGCATTGCCCTCTGTTGAGCTGCATGAGGTTCCTGTCAGCCCATTTCTCCAGCCTCTACAGTCCCTCTGAATGGCGGCACAATCAACCACCACTCCTCCTGAGTTTGTATCATTTGCAAATTCACCGAGGGTGTACTCTGCCCCACCATTCAGGTCATTAATGAAGATATTAAATGCATGCCCCCAGTATCGATGCTTGGCACACACCACCACTAGTGGCTGACCCCCAATTGGCCTTCAGGCCGCTGATCACAGCCATTGAGGCCTGACAGTTCAGCCAGTTTCTAGCCCGCCTTATTGTCTACTCATCCAGTCTGCACTTCATCAGGTTGTCTGTAATGATGTTCTAGGATACAGTATTGAAAACAACAGTGCACTCTTTTCATTCATCAAGCCAGTCATCTCATTGTAGAAGGACATCACGTTAATTAAGCATAATTTCTCCTTTATAAATCCATGCTGACTACTACCAGTCACTTTCTTGTCCTTATGTTTGGTTTCCACAATTCTTTGCTCCATCACCCTTCCAGGGATCAATATAAGGCTGACAGGCCTATAGTTTCCCCAGATTCTCCTTCTTACCCTTCCTGAAGACAGAAAAAAATTTCCTTTCTTTCAGTGCTCAATCTCTTCCAATTGCCTTGTCTTTTTAAAGACTAATCAAAAAGGGCCTCTCACTGTCATCAGCCAGCTCCCTCAGTATGCATGGTTGTAACCCACTGCGTGCTTGCTCTTGAGAAACAGAAGCTCTGCTTCATCAGAATATTACGATACCTCTTCCTCTCTCAGGTTGGCTGGGGTTATCTTTTCCATACAAATAGACTGACTTCAAACACAAACGTAGAAAGACTGAATAGAGTAACTGTATATTACAGTATTAAAAAAATGACTAATGAGTAGTTAAATATCTTGTTCTCCATTGTATCTGATGTGCAGGATGACACTGCAAAGAAAACAAGAACTTGGCAAACTCAAACCTGATTTTTATGCCAAAATGAAAGTATGACTTGAGTTAGAAGTGAGCAAGACCTGTTTTTTTCCTATACCGCAACATATGAACATGGCTATACAGACTTGAACATTATATACCAATGCCCACAAAGCTGCTTCTATTCACAATAGGAGAGCTGGAGTCAGAGCTCCAGTAACAGTAATAAAAGGATTCTATTGCCACCTACTCCACCAAGTTCTCAGCAAGACAGCAACTTCAGGTTCATTCAACATCAACTACTGAAGTGATTTTGCAGGACATTATGACCACAAAGAGATAATGAACAGGGGTTTATCTGCTTACCAGGATAGCCTTCCAGACTCTGCCTCACATTGTTCACAGTAGGATAAACCTTCATGGAGGAGGGGAAAAAAGGTAACTTTAATAACACACTAAATACAGAACCTGTCAATTTTCAAACAAAAGTCACCTTAAAGAAAACTTACTTGAGAAAAAAAACCCCAACATTAGAAACTTCATTTTTCAGAATGAACAGAATTACACCACAGCTTAAAACTAGCTGTGTACCAGTAAAAGTCTTTAATACTTTTAGTGCTCATGCAGAGCTTACAAAATTCAGCTAGCAAGACTCAAACAATCCTGCTTCAACCACTTTCATGGTGGTCAAAGTAAGCTCTTAGCATTATTTTATGAGATTTTAGCCTCGTGTCTCAAATATGAGTATGCAGAGGCAATTAGCATACAGTAAGGGCATAGTTTTACAATATTTTCTCCTTGATTTAACAAGCTTCTGCCATAAAGATATGTCTGCTCCTCTCCTTAATTGTGCTAATAACCAGGTTAGAAGATAATTTGGTTTAGCTATCACTCAAGGTTCAACTACATCTCAGTAGTACAGATGTACTACATCTAGATTTTGCATCTACAAAACTCAATGGAAGACAAGCTATAGAATGAGAATATAATTTTGATTAATTGTACATACTTTAATGTCATGCAGATGGAAATTACTGTACATTTTTAGAGTATACCATACAAGAGTAAAGGTAACTAAGTAGCATCCTTCTGATTTCAGGATGAAAACTACATTAACATCTTCCTAATGTTAAAAGCAAACCAAAGAGTAAGATTTAAACAACAATTAAATAAATGTTAAATAAAGGTCACTAGAATCTAAAAGACATACCAAATGAATTGGAACATCACATTTCAGAAGAGATGTCACACTGCTGCCTGCAGCCACCAGGCTCTCCTGGAACTCTGAGCACAGCCATTTGGACCCATCAGCTCCCATTGAACCAATGCTTGAGAACTGTCCAACAACAGGCCACAATTCCTGTGCTGGTATTGAGGAAGCATGCTCTTTCAAAAGCTAGTGAGAGAAATTGAAACATTGTTAAGACTTCAACAGGGAAAGAATACCTTAATTAGTGGTTCAATATCACTTCTGATATAATAAAACCTCTATAATTCACTTCTGACAGTAGGAGAGATTAGCATTCATACTATCTACTTAACTTTGCAATAAAAAAAAAAGTCATCAGGCTTTCCAAATAAACCCACTGTTCCTTCAAGAGAAGGTCAAACTTCACGAGTTTTATCCAAAAGCACCAAAGCCAACCATTAAATAATGGGTAAAAAGAATGCTAGCAGCTCGTCCTAAAAACATGAAACATTAGCTTCAGAAGTCACAATAAATTAAACAACTAAATCTTTTTATATTTGGTGGTTGTTGGCCATAAAATTCCCCTCATATCCTAAAGCCCCAGCTACAATAGAATCCTACAATAAGAGGGTATAAAAGAACAATTGAAGAGAAAATTAAAATAATCCTTTTAGAGGAATTCTTTAGTTGTGAATAGAATTTCAAGTCACATTAAAACCAGATGGATATAGACACATACTAAGTTGTATGTAGTGGCTACCCTTCTCCCCCCTTGAGAGGACACAACTAAATGGCTTGTGTAGTGTCACCAGGTTTATCTGCATTGTCACTTAAAAAAAATTAATCTCTTTAATCACAGAAACATTTGCCACAAGGCTATCTTTATCCTTTAAAGGCTTTTTTGGTTTTATTTTTTCATTCAGTATCTTACTAGGCAAAAGAACATGCAAACAACATATCAGAAAGGACAACCTCTTTACAAGCAAGGGGAGGTCTAAAACAGTGACCTTGTGTTGGAAACCAACATGATAAGCCATTTTGTATGTTACTGAAGTTTGCCATGAACATCATTATAATTCCATGTAAAATTCATGACGGAGTTTGAAATAATGCCACTTCAGCAGGACGTACAGGTTAAAAGCTCCCCAATTATGAGAGACATTTAACAGGTAACATAAAATAGCTTATGTGATTGTAAATAAATACTGAAAAAGAAGGGGCCATATGAACTTAAGATATGCAATTTTGTATGAAAATTTACCATTATGGCTTATCTAAATCTAAATGGAAAAAAAAAATCCATGCTCCTAATTATTCATTTGATGAAAGAAAATCAAGATCTTAGAAATGTAGTAAATGAAACTAAAAACCTGACTGAATTGGTGACATCAGCTATGTGCAAACTAGTTTTTAATTTGATTTTTTTTTTTTTTTCCAGATCATTAGGGAAAGAGAAACTGTAATGGCCTTTAACGTTTAAGGAAATAAAATAAGCCTGTGCCCTATGTGCAGGAAGTCTGTATCAACACATTTTTCCTCGTTGAGTGCCTTTACAAGAGGTTATACTTGGTTCCCAGTCACAGAAAACTGGATTTTGATAGTGTCATGCTTGTTAGAAACATCAATAGAAGATGACAGGAAGTCATTTGAGTGATGGTGGCTCCTCAGGTATCTGTAAGCACACAACAATTCAGACCACAAGCTGACCAGGGTAATAATGGCAGGAATATTATATGCAAAGTCTATGCTGTCACAGGTTTCAAGTTTATATTACTGCTTAAGCTGTAACAATGTATTAAAAGATTGCTGATCATAGCTGGAAAAAAATAAAAGGAACTAAAGAATGCTCTCCAAAATTATATTTAAAATTAAAAGGATATTAACTAAAATGTTTATAGTTTTAGTACCTTTCTAAGCCTAAGATGACCCCACTTTTCTTTATCACTACCTTGATATCGTCCAGGGGTAGAACCAAGCAGATACACTCTACATAAAGAAAAAACAAGACTAAGTTATTTGCAGCTCTGGAGTGGTTTGGTTTGTAAAGTATTTAGGTATTTAAGCAAAATCTATGAGCAAGATTTAACACAGAAGTGCAATCAGAAATACTTAATCCTTCAGCTAAAATTTACAATGTAAAGAAGAGTGGATTTTCAGGTGCATAATTTATTATTAGCATCCTATATGGCTGTCAGGCACTACCAAGCTGCTCTGTAATATAGACAATAACTGCATCTATTTCTGTGTACAAAAATGCAAAGACAATAAATGCAAATAGTTTGTCTGGCACACAACCGGGCACATGATTTTGAGTAAAGCAAATCTATTGCTACATCCAAATTAACAGATTCAGGTATGAGATTTCATTTGCGCACCTAATAGTTCAGATGCAAAGTACAGTTCTTCAACTGTCTTCCTAATAAAGGTTTAGAGCCTGTTCAACTTTGTCCTGAAAGCAGAGGAGATAACCTGTGCAGAGTCACAACAAACATGCTTTAGCAGCTGTTCCTTACTGCATCTCATGCGCAGCTTTATCCATGAATGAATGTCCCCTACATATTTTATATGGCAAGGAACCGATCCTTATCCTAAGCAGCGACTCTTCCCTAACCTGTGCATACACTCACATCAGCTAGGGCTCAACCAGCCTGTCCAAGCTCAGACAGACAACCAAGTGAGTAAGAACAGCAGCTCAGGCTGTTAGCTCACCTGACTATAAAGTACATACAAGGTATGAGGGGGTAAAGAAAAAAAGACTAAAGAAAAAATGCTTTTTTTATTGAATGTATTAAAATAGACGAGGTTTCAGTCTATTTCCACCAGTTTATGACCTTTTTCAGCTTTTGTTTTCAACAATTTTTTGCCAGTTTATAAAACTGCTATTAAGCAGCCAAGGAGATTTACACTTTGAAGTAAATACCATATTTCAGTGGAAATGCAGGATGTATCTATTAGAATTAAGCATCTGAATTATTTTAAACAGTATCAGCAATGTGAATTGGAGACACAATCTGGAGACACAATAGACACAATCTGTGCCTGTAACAGGCAAAATTCTGTGCCTATGTACATGGATTGAACTTTGTCCTACACAGAGAAGCCTATTCTTAACAAAATCCCCATTACAACCTTTACTTATATGATCCCCTCTTACATGACAAACTCAATACAATGCAGTTTTTTTTCCACTGGTAATTTTATCGGAGCAAATATTTAAGACTGACTTAAATGAAGATCTGAATCCCTATTACTTACAGCTACCTTCTGTCAACTTACTGATGAACCCTTTTTCATTCCTTTAAAATGTATGTTTATAAAACTAGAAGTTGGTTAATTCAACATAATCTGCATAAAACAGATTTTTAGAACTGCCTAAAGTCAGACATGTTTGAACACTGAAGTCTGGAATAAGGTAGTATACAAAACAAACCCATGGTCTAACAGAACCTAACAGGAATGTTTAATTTTTTGGAAAAAAAGCATGCAAGTTACTATAAACACAAGATAACATACCTTGTCTCTGATAAATCATGTTCTTGAATCAGGTCTATCCATTCCTTGAGTGCAGGAGAATTGTAAGCCATCAGATAACTTATTAGGTCAGACTTAAATTTCGTTTCAGATTCACCAGCAGAACCAGTTGTTCCCTGAGGTAGCCTTGGGTATAAAGGGCTTAGCCATATTCTAAAAACAAAGCCACAAAAACAGGGACACCACACGTTAACACATGGCTTTAGTAAGTGATTAAAGCACATCTGAAGGTCCTAAGTGAATACTAGACAGATTTATTGTGTTACTAACTATAAAGCGACTTGCCTTTGCTTTACAATTAATCATCAGGTCTTATACTCAGTACCATAAAACTAATACTTTCAAATGAAAACAACAATATCAACACGCTTATCCATGCATATGTTTACAGCTTTAAGCACTGTTAAACGGGCCAGGCTCAGACTTACCAACCCAGTAGTCCTTTCATCAAGATTTTCTGTATGAATAGAACACTGCAACATGTTCTGCTAAGCTACTGGTTTGCACAACGATAGAGAAAAACACCAATTAGTGTCTGAAAGTTTTGCATAGCTTGAAGAGTAGCCCACAATAACTTGCTCTTCAAAACTTCCATCAGAATAAAATAGGGTGGGCACTACACAGGGAAAACATCTGGCATTTCTTTCCAGTCACACATTATTGTAGCCATAGAAACCAAAGATTCTGCATTATTAACTTTTCATGTTAATATGATCCTTTGTAAGTCAGAAGCCTATGAAACAGAAAACCATGAACCCTCATATGGGTGATACTGCATATTACTGCAGAGTGCAAAAAGAAAATGTTTTTCATGTTTGACAAGTATATAGGACAACTTGTTAAGCATCCCAAATAGGTATTTTCCTGCATTCTTGGCTTTCTGAAAAAGCTGACTGCCAAGAGATACTAAAGCCATCCCTAAGTAAAAGATTTAAAGACAAAAAATCGGTGGTTGTATTTCTGCCACTTAAAAACCCTTATAAGAGCTTGTCTCGGACAAGTGAAAAGCCTCAAAACCTTGTCATTTTTAATGGCAGCAAAATGGATGTAGAGGTGACAGTAAGTTCTAAAAAGCCATTTTCAATTACTTTGATGAAGAATTCTTATACCCTGAATTACTGTGGAGATCTAACTAAAAAATGCTCCCATAAAAATAGCCAAGACAAACAGAGGTTGAGGGACCTTGTATATTAACATCTCAGTCTTATCTTTTGTGCTGTAAACAAAACTATGTCCCAAGCTAGCTGTTAAGTTTAAAAACTACCAAAAAAACAGGAAGAAAATTCCATCCAAGGGAAGGATACTGGGTGGCTACTAAGTCATCTACTGTATTAAGGAACCAATGGTGCCCAGAATTTATCAGGTTACATTCTAGATACAGTCACAGCAGAAGAACATCTGCATGTTCACATTATTCTTGCACTATTAAGACAATTTTTAAATAGCTCCTTCAGATTTATATAGAGTACTTTATAGCTAGGTAGTTTTATCATAAAGAGACAGCATGGCATAATAAAATATCTTAAAACAGTCAGATCAAGTTTAGGCCAACAGTCAGCTCAGGACAATTTTATTTACAGCAGAAAGTAAGCAGAATTCAGGCTTAGTCAGCTATCACCATTCTAGGTTTAATTTTTTTATTTGCAGAACAGCTCTATCTTAGGAGGGTAAGACTCATAGCACCAGATCATCTGACCTAGTATCCTGTCTCCAGCGGTAGCAGATACCTATGGAATGTATTAAAGTAAACATACACCTGCTACAGATTATTGCTTACCCCTGAGTTTTCTGGTGCCAGTCTTCAGCAATAAGATTGGATGTATGTATCACAACTCGAAGACCTTCTTCGTATAACAATAACATCATTTTCCTTAAAAAAAAATATAATTTCATCTATTTCAAGTACACTGAGAGTAGGAGATAAATTAACAATTCATTAAAATGCTCCAAGATAATTCTTTTCAAAATATTTGTTCTGCATGGTACACTCAGACTTCAATTCATGGCCATGTTAAATTCACATGTCAGTCATTAGATTATACCTACATATTTTGTCAGTATCATCATACAATATATTCTAGAGTACAGTTTAACATCCCATTAACTGATTTCCCAATGCAAAAATGAATACTTGCAGAACATTTTCTATATTTGCTAAGTTTTTCAGATAAAACTTATTCCTTTGCAGACAGTTAAAATAAGAATTAAGGAACACTAAAAGGCCTTTGCTTATAGATGAACAGACAATTTTTAAAATAGAAGGTAAACACAAGATACAGCACCAACAAGTTTTAAAACTAGTAACCAAGTTAAAAATGATTGTTTTTCGTAACACAATTGCTCAGAATTTATTATACAAGTTTTCAGTAGTTGTGTAAAGACAGCATATCTATATGACCCTGAAGGATGAAATGGTTCCCACAGAAACCAAAGAATGAAAGCTGTAAGGAAAAAACATGCTTATCTTCATCGCTGTCCCATGGCAAGATAATGCTATGCAAATCATCTCAGGCTCAAATTTAGACAATGACTTATTCAGTAATTTCTGCTTTTAATGTTAGAATTCAGCACACTAATGTTAAAGTACCCATACATGCCCTCCTGTGCTTACTGCATAGTTTATGCAATATGCAAGACTCCCTAACTATTAAATAGTTCCCCATGTGTGTTATGCCTCAATCTAGTCACAAATTGAGTTGACAGTAAAATAAGTATTTTACAGCAAAATAAGGTTTAAGATTAAAGTATACAGAAGTGATAAATGACCAAAACATCACTACTTCAAAAAAAAAAAAAAATCACTGATGTGCAATTTAAGTTTTATATCATACAACAGGAGTAGCATGAATTTAAATCTTTATATTTGATGGGGTAAAAACTGTTAAGTTTCTTTTGGAACTAAATTGTTTCATTACCCACCAAGATCTGATTTACTGGCCTGCCACTCACTTGTGTTCCATCTGCAGCAGAATGTGCATTCAGAAGGACACTACTTGGAACAACCCTTTGAAATACATAGTTAAAGAACTGTAACATTTAACATCACTATCACTTATTTATCCCAAAGCGTGGTGGAAGAAAAAAAAAAAAAAATCTGAAGTTGAGCATACAGAGAATGAGTGCTTCCACCTGAACTGCTTAAGTGAAAAAAAGCTAAAGCTTTAAAAATGATCAATTTGAAAAACAACCTCAATTCCTTTTATGTCCCTTACTAAACCTGAGGGAAAAGCAAGACTCATTTTTAAAATGCTGATTTCTTTCCTTTATTTGCATATTCATCTCCCAACAGGCAATGAAGAGGTCAGCATGCTTTAATGTTGTTTTACAATGTTTTAACGTAATGTCATGTTTTATAGAACAAGTTATATGAAACAATTAAAAAATAGTGCAGTGCCCTGAAATCAAAGATCTTTGCTACAAGACATAAATCTGTTATTTGTATCTTGCAGTCCACAAAATTGCCTTTGTGACACTTCTATAGTATCAAATTAAGCATTTTATTTGAAGAACCCAAAATTCAGTAATTATTTCCAGATCCTCCAAGTTAACTGCAAAAACTGAGCAGTAAACCAGTGTTGTGTCCAACTTGCCACTGACTGATCAAGTCTGTGTTACACTTTTGGTATTAAGCCACAACCTGCAATTCACCAATGTCAAGTCTCACTTGCACATCTGACATCTACTTAATAGACGATTCATTTCCTTAAACTGAAACAATCCTATCATCTATAAATACAAAGTAATTAAGGAAATTTTTCTTTAAGCTTCCGCAATTTCTATGAAATTTCATGGCTTTAAAATAACTTGTAGATAAATGAAACATACACATAGAATATGAAAGATACTACTTTAGATTTTCATCAATATACGTTAGGCCTTCAGAATTATGTTTTCACAAGCAGTAATAATCTGTGTTCCTATCCTATAAAGATACTAGACACTACTTAGCAGTTCAATCATGTCAACTGTGTGTACCAACTCTGTGGACATCTTTAGAAGTGGAGCTTTCTGTTTCATAGCTGTTACTTACGTATGGTGAGTTCCAAATGCAATATCCAGTTTGGCCTATAAAATTAAAAAGTTGATCATTAAAAACTCCTATTGTGCATTCCTATACGCAAGAATGTTGAAGAAAGAGAGATGCTTCTTCATTTTGTTTCATTTCACTGCTCTCTAGTGGACAGATCACAAAATACATTATTTTTCCCCTCAACGCCTTTAAATGTGCTAATTTCTAGAAGTTAGACTTGAGACAGCAATACAACTCTTCACTGGACCTGCTTCAGCAGAATTTCAAGTTCACCAAGAGCTATCAATGTGGCCTTGCACCACTAACAGTGTCCTGGGGTGCATCAGGAGGAGTGTTGCCAGTAGGTCAAAGGAGGTGATCCTTCACCTCTATTCAGCACTGGTGAGGCCACACATGTGATACTGGATCCAGTTCTGGGCTCCCCAGTACAGGAGAGACAGGGCCATGCTGCAGAGTGGCAAAGGACCACTAAGATGATTAAGGGACCTATGAAAAAGGCTGAGAGAGCTGGCACTATTCAGCCTGGAAAAGAGAAGGCTCAGAGGGGATCTGACCAGGATGTATAAATACTTGAAGGGAAAAGTACAAAGAAGGGGGATCCAGGCTCTTTTCAGTGATGCTCAGTGGCAGGACCAGAGGCAATGGGCACAAACCAAAACACTGGAGGCTCCATCTAAAAATCAGGAAACACTTTCTTACTCTGAGGGTGACTAAGCACCAGTATGGATTGCCATGCAAGGTTATGGAGTCTCCATCCTTGTAGATATTCAAAACCTACCTGGACGTTGCCCTGGACAACTGGTTCTAAGTGACCCTGCTTGAGCAGGAGAGTTGGACTAGATGACCTCCAGAGGTCCCTTCCAATCTCAACAATTCTGTGATTTTGAAGCAATGACTGTTACAAGCAGCTTAATGGCTAACATTGGAAAGAAAAGGACAAAAGCCAAACGAATGCACTGATGTGCTTTGCTCTTATTAAAGAGTATTTCCAGCACAATTTCTAGGGAAAGAATGAAATGCTAATTACAGGTGTTAAGAAAATAATTTTAGCCAGTGATGGCTCCAACATTGTGCCTAGTTAATATGGGCATGGAGAAGAGCAAAACACATTTAATTTTGAGGTGCTAACATAGCAGACTAGCATGTAGACTACCAGAAGAATCTGAAGCAGTATACTCAAATAGGAAAACTATCACAAATGACATTTTTCCCTGCTACTTACTAGTAACCGCACTGACAAGTTTATCTTATGGGACATATTACATTCAAATTCTTGTTGTGTGTGAAAAGGAAATATTATACACAAAACCATGAATCTTTTGTTAGTTTATTTGAAATCTTAAAGTTGTTCCTACTCCACAACTTAGTGATAACACCTGATTATCACAGCACCCAGCAGCCCAGAAATCCTGGCCTCGAGCACTCATTATGTCTGGCATTAATACACTGATTTCTAGGAAGCTCAGGTTTACCAGACTGCCTGAGAAGGAAGAAAATTCCAAGATCATCCTCCACCTAACAAAGAGTAAGATATCCCCATGATCAATCATATATTCCACCCAGCAAAACCCTGAAATATTAGCATGTTGCCATAACCACATCACTCCCTCAGTGCTGAAGCCAGTAACTTTACAACTCATGGACACCAAGAGCATAAGCATAACAGAGAGAAAATGGCATGCGCCAGGAAGTGTGCTTACAGCAATTTTAACGATAATATGGCAACTATGTGTAACATTATTTTCTGTAAAACATATTCAGATGATTAATAATTCTCTGATGAGATTTAAGATTACAGTGACACTGGGACTAAGTCCTGCAGTTTACACAAAAGGTGCTTCCTTTTTAGTCATTACATGAATTTGAGTGGAATTTGTTAGTGGAGAAGGTATGCAGCTCTTTCTGTGAGCCCCATGGCACTCCTGTGGGCAGCTGTTCCATGCAAACCTTTTGTGAGCGACAGTCTACCATAATCACAAAAGTCCAGGAACCATGTTCCTGTGGCCCTGATAGGTATATTCCTTAAAGCATAACAATAAATTCTTGCCTTTCCATATAAGGTGTGTGTCTCTTCATTCATAACAAGATTTTGAGTGCAACAGATGGCTTTATCTCAACCAAAGGGTGATACACATGTTAATTACCTGACAAAAGCTGATGTTCTCATAAGGGCGTGCTTGTGCAAGCAGTTCAGCTTTGGATTCTCTCTTTTCGCCATGAACTATTAACAATGGCTTCTTCCTTAAATAAAGGGAGATTACTATTAAAACATCAAGTGAATTAGTAATCAAGTCTAAACTATTCCTTCCTATAGTTATGACTTTTGACCCCTAAATCCAATAGATTTTAGTGCCATCTTCCTGCTGTGCTATATGCCCTACTAACTCAAAAAAGCAGTAACTACAATAGAACCCCTAAGAGAAAGACACTAGAAAACTTTAATAGAAAAAAGGTAACATGAAGGGCAGAGTAAATCAAGCATCAAAACAGAAACTAATAATACAAGATCTTGTCTGTATAGCTGGAAACGGACAAAAAAACCTCATAAGTATTGACATATAAATTGTGGATCTAAGACAATTTAATCATTATTACCTTACAGAGAAGATAGCAAGAATGAGAGGGAAAAGGAGAGGGATAAGTCTATTCTGGCAGTAGTTTTGCTTCCTAATACGTTTTTCTACTGCATTTCTAGTAAAAAGCAAAAAATGGAGAGAAAAACTGTACATCATACACTCAATCTGCAGTAGGTTGCAATTATCAAAAAGGAATTTCAAGCAAATGTAAGAACTGCTTTCAGGACAATGTCCAGCAACCACAACCATATTGTATCCATTGATATCATGATAATTTTCACATAGTTTTCTTGTGCCTTGCCTACATTCCCTCCTCCCTCTTACATTACCTTGCTCTTGGCTCAGTAAACTGTACGGCAAAAAACTTCCTGTTCCATCTTTATCTGTCATCTATTGCATTGTTATCATGGCCCACAATGGGACCTCCTAAATGTTAATTAATAAAAATCAGAAACCAGCCATACTGAACTCTGGCCACTTAAGTCTTGAAAAGAGGCAAGAAATCAATAGAGAGCCACAACTGTGGCATAAGCATACAAGGAAGACCAGGAGTCTACATATAAACAAAAGGTAATAGTAATTTGCAACTGCGAACAAGTGTTTATCATTCACTTGTAACAGGAACTTGCATGAACAGAATGATTTGGAAACTGTACCATTTCATCATTGTAAGATAAACATACCTGAATTCCTGCGGATACTGTCTTACAAGCCATCCCACATCTATGCAGTAGTTAAACTTGTACATAAGAAAACAGACTCATTAACAAGAAAAAAAATCAGCGTTTGTCAGAACAATAAACTACAGCAAAAAAGTTTCTTACATAAAGTCAGCACTCAATACCACTTACATCATTCAAAACGTTTTAAAAACAGGTGTATTTTTGAATTTCACATGGTTTCTTTCATGTCTCTTAACAATTCAGGAATTAAAGTTATTCAAAAGCATATTTTAGTCTTCATAAAATTTAGCATGCAGAAATAAAAGGTCACATACACATAATATAAAAGCTTTGGTTCAAGAACCATCTCTGCCATGTGCTTATACCAGGAATGACAGCAAAAGCCCTGTGGAGTAACAAAAGTATCATTCCTAGATTGCAAAGCTTTTTTCTTTCAAAAAAATAATTTACACACAGAGAAATACACATTTTTCAGTTGCACATTCCTCAAAAACAGGAGACAAAGCAGTCTTATAATTGCCTGAATCTAAACAGAACATGGGATGATATTTACATTTCACCAAATTGTCATGCAGTTGAAAACATTTATAGAGTTTCCTCTGTATTTTAACAAAGTTCCCTGCTAGTATCAGCTACATGGCACAAACATGCATTTCTAGTTTAGGGTTAAAGGGAAATAAGCAAGTGAAATTAATTTGACAAACAGAAAACTTACCTGGGCAGAAGACATGAGAGTCCCAAAAAGAGGAGACAAAATATCTATTAAAAACATTAAAGTATAATTAAGTAAAAAAAAAGGTTCAAGTAAACATTTCACATCTTGAACAGTTTGATAACTACCACAGCACAAATGACAGATTGTTCACAGACTTAGTGTAACAGACATTCACATTCAAGTTTCTGTTCTGAATATTCAAGTCACTGTTTCTCCTGTGAAACCCTTATGGTCTTGTTTGTAAAAACCATTAATCCTCTCAAAGTAGAAAACAAATTTTTAACTCATTAGGAGAAAGACCAAGATCATATGGAGGAAGAAACATCTCCCCGATAGAGAGAGCTTGAAGAACTGTGGCAGGGTATAAGCAATAAGGACATAGTTAATGCTTAAAGACTCAGTCTGCAACAGGTACGTGTATCCTCAGTTTATTAACGGTAACAGAGAAAACTAATCAGACTGAGGATTTATAGCCTCAATAACTGAATAGCAGCAACTTGAAAACATATCCTACAAATACCTTCTAGGATTAATATTTCATACCTTATCTCTACAGAAATCTGTTTTTTCAGGTTAAGCAAACAAGAACTGAGACCCTCCACCAGCTCAACTAATCACCCAGCAGAACAACTACTAAGACAGGACAGGCCAAAAGCCACAATGAACTCACAAAGCAAATAAAGATACAGCAGTAAAGCAATTGAGGTCTCCAACACCAGACTGCCATCAACAATCACGGCTCATAGGGAGCACATGAGGTTGAGGAAAAGTTACAAGCTAATTGTTTGTCTTCAGACATTCATTCTCCTTCAAAGAACTACATTTTTTTTTTCTGCCTCATTTTATTGTATTTCTGTGCATAAATCTGTTATTAATCTGTTTCTGATTCTGTCTTGTGATGTATGAGATTCCATTTCTGCGTGATGGGATCTTTACAGGTGCACAGAGCTGTTCCCCCTTACGTCAGACTACAACTACACAGCATTCCTGAAGCATTGGTACTGTACATCAAAAAAGTCGCTCCATCTTGACTTATACTCATTTCTATTAGAACTGAAATGGGCCCTCGAATCCAAGCCACAGAACTTCAGAAGTACTATCTTGCACTGCATCAGTAGTGAATTCCTAGGTCCAAAACACTTGGGAGCATTAAAACAAGTGCGAACTCAGGGAGAATGGTTAGGCACCCAAGAAAAAACAGTCCTTTAAGTGCCATGAAGGCAAGCAGTTTTCCCCAGATAAACTCAAAGAGAAGGCAGCAATAAGAAGCTTGCCCTGACTAAATGCACATTAGATTTGTGCAGTATAAACTCAGAAGTTACAAGACGATCAGTATCAGCACAGTAATGCTTTATACACTTCACTTCTAGAAGAGAAAGGCAAAGATAACAGAACCAATTCCTACAATTTGCACATTTAGAATATGAAACCCCAGCTACCTCAAAGAATATATGCATTTTAAAGAACCCACAAACTAAATATAAGCATTCTTTTGCAAATAGGTCTCCAAAAAGCCCACTTCCGTAGAAGCCACTTGTTCACCTTTTATGTGCAGGGCTCCAGAATTATAGGTCTGTTCAATCCCTGTGACTTTAGTGAGAAAAAACCTGAAAGGGTTCCCGCCATTCAACAAATCCCAGGTATCTTGGGTTTCACTGAGTGTTTCATTATAGTCCTCTGCTTGCTGACTCTCTGAGAGTTCATCATCTCTGCAAAGATTCAGAGCACGTTCTTCCGGTGTTTCACATATTTCTTCTTTCTGTGTTCCTTTTTGGCCACGCTTTTCCTGATCTTCAGGCTCTTCATCACTACTAGAAAGACACCAGCCTAAGCCTTCCTGGCTAGCTCTCTGTTTTCCTGCTGGAGGTGTTTCTGTAGAAAAACTTTTATCACCGAGCTTCAGAGGAGAAGCTTTTCTCTTGTGAGCAGCTTTCCTAGCTTCAGAGCATGGATATTGTGGCCCACTTGTTCTACCACGTGCAGCATCCAATAGTGAAGATGTAGAGGGTTTTTCACTATCAGAATTCTCTTCTGTACTTTCATCGCTGCTAGATACTGTCCATTTTCCATGTGCACCTTCCTGAAGCATGTTCCTAGGGATTAAAAAAACATAACACCAAACAAAAATCATGCATTGTTGCTACGCTCAAGTCTTTTTCCCTTCCTACTTTCCATTTGCTTATTACTAGAGAGCTTCGTTTTTCGTATCTGGCAGAATCTCCATGCAACTTCTGACTCGGAAAAGTTTCCCCGCGCACAAAGCTTATTTGTTTCTGTGCCCAGGAAACAAAGAAACACGTGCAACGGGAGCAGCCATCGGCTGAGAAGCCGCTATGGTGGAAATCTGCACACGGAAAAGGGGCCAGGACAGGGGCACGTAGAGGAAACCATTTCTCGAGCCAAAATAATCATTCCTATCACACAAATATTTTTCATCCCGACCCTAACAGTTAGGGGCCTAGCGCGCTCTGCTGAGGGGACACGGGAGCGGGGACTGGAGCCAGGGCCGCTCCTGCCGGCCGCCTCTGGAGGCCCACGGCCCCCCTCCGCCGCCCTCCACATCGCATGTCCTAATAATAAACATGTATTCTCAAAAATCTAGTTATTTTTGGTTCAAGTAGCAGCTGGGCAATTTTAGTTCTGACTAATACAATTCTGTAGCTGTACAAAAATCTTAACAAAAAGTTATTGGGAGAAATCATGTGTTGTACTCACAGGCAGATACAGGACAAATTGTATGGCTTAATGTAGTTCTGGAAGTTCTGTTTCTATTCTAGTATGCAAGTGATCTCAAAAAGAATATGGAGAACACACATGTAGGATTTTAGAATAAATATACCTGTGTCTGTGAGTCTTTCTCAAGGCATATTGATGCAAGCTTGACCAATATACTATAAAGTATATTTAGTGTAGAAATGATGATTCATCTTTCTTCTGCGATTTGAGCAATCTTCTTCCCCAAGGACAACTTGTGACTAATTTTATTTTTTTTTTACTTAAATACATATTTTAAGAAAACAGTCTTAACAAGGTCATAAACAAAATTTTGTCTATGATCATTTAAACTAAAAAACACAGAAGTATTTTATTAAACTGAATGCAGTCATCTCTGATACATTTCAGCTGTGGGTAAACATTTCCTCAATGAACTAGGGCCAGATCTGAAAATAATTTAGACTTCTAAAGTGAGTCTTAACTGCTAAATTATGAATCTGAAAATGCTCAGCTTCCCCTTATCTATCTTCTATCTTTTTTTTTTTTT